GGGAGCTTTGCTAAGCTTTCCGATCTTATCCACTGCCATCTATTAGTGTGCGCTGCAGGTGTTGAGCGAGACGGCCCCGAAACGTTGGAGGTAGATGTGGATAGTGGGGTGGCATAAGGTGGGGCAATGAGGTGTAATCTGCGATTGGCTATGAGCTTATCGTCAGGAAAGGATTACTCCATCTGGATGTCGTGCATATGTGGGTTAGTGTAGTAACGTGGGCTCCGACTATGACTCGAGGAGACTTTCGCAAGTCGGAAATGCTGACATAGACGGTCGCGCGGCGTAGTAATCCTTGGAACTGCGTCTTGAATTCTGATAATACATTCTGGGTATATTCAAATTAATGGATGCGGTAGTGATATCATGCAGGTCGTTCTTCTTCATGGTCTTCGTCCTCTTTCCACTTCTTGCGCCACCACTTCATCTTGAACCAGTCGCCCAAGTTATCTTGGCTTTTGCTCCCTTGGCCGTACCCCCAGGTCTGTCGTCTCCGAGACGTTTCGTCCATGTCTGTATCAGAGATATCGCCATCTTCTGGATCAGGATGATCAAGAAGTGATGTAGAGCTGTCCACGGGCTTCTTTCCTTGCGACACGCTCCTGCCTCGGCTACCGAATCCTTCGAACCAGGACCGTCGACGCATCTGATTGAGCCACGCCGACTGCGCAGCATTCCGTCGTGGAGGCAAAGTCCCAGATCTTGGACGTCGTTCTAAGTCCACAGATCGCCGAGCAGGAGAAGGCAGAGTCTCTCGGTCGTTGAGCTCATCCCATATCTCATTTGTCTCCTCCGAGATAGTCATCCGCCGTCTCCTCGGCAATCTACGAGATTGTATAGGACTTTTCAAGTCACCGGCGTCCACCGATGCTCGCTTCTTCGGAATGGCGAGTGTCACCGCGGGACCTGTGGGAGCGCGGGCCAGCAGAGGTGTCCTTTCGTCGACCGCTTTCCGTTTGGCTTGCTCCGAGGTAAAGCCATGAACGCCAGGGGCTTCTTCGTCGATGTCCAGAGGTGAGTCGGGTTCGTCGTGGCTATGGCCATGCGCAAGGCCGATACCGGGTTCCAGCACGTTGTGAGGCATCGGAACCCTGCCTGTGTGCTTGCTTGCTACCGGTGACATGGGCTCTTCTTCGTTGTCTTCAAGTCGCCAGCTCAAGCAGACAACTCCCGCGAGCAGAATAACAGTTCCAAGCGCGATCAACCCAGCGTGTAGACTCGACAGGCGATCGTTTTGGTCGAAGTAGATGAGGCCGTCTATAATCGCGATGATGTTGTACACGCAGAAGACCAAGGGGTAGAGCACGCTCGTGCTAACCAACTTCAGTCCGCGATGCATGTAGTAGAGTTGGGTCAGGGCGAAGACGACCAGTCCGACTAGGATCATCCACGACTGCCAGCGGTCAAACTGATTATGGCGGTCGATGAGCGTACGGACGAGGAGTTCGACGGCGCTCTTTGCGATTAGGAGCGAATGCGCGGAGAGGATGCCACTGACGCAACCGAAGAGGATACCGCGTACGAGGCGTTGTCGAGGAGTGGTCCGCGGATGCATGCGGTGTAATAACCAAGTGGCAATAACCAGCATGACAACCACTATGCCCGTCATGACCATCCATACAATGAAGGTGTTTCGTCCCAATAGCGCCAACAGTTGATCCAGGTTATGCGACGGTTCCGCAATGGCACCGAACAAGGCGATGAGCAATGCGCCTATCGCAACGAGCATTGTGCCGACGAAGGAGTATCGCGTAAAGGGTTCGCTGAGGATGATGGAGGCGCATATCGAGTTGAAGACGAGGCCGGATGCCTGGAGGGTAGAGAGGACGGGAAGGGGGAGGGTGGTGATTTGGATGGTACTGCCGACGATGTTTGCCACGACGAACATGAGCATGCCCAGCTATATGTATGTTAGTGAATCGTCTCCGAATGCGCGAGGGGTCTTCGTGCCTGCCATCTCCGCCGCTTGTATGGGGGTCGCCTCTCATCGTCGTCGTCCTTCTCTTCCTCCAAGAGATGGGACTTCCGCTGCAGCGTCAGGCCAACGCTCTGTATGCTGGTAGAGGCAAGGCCGACCATTACTCCAAGCTGCATGTCCGTCCGTTAGCGCTCTATTCCCGTGGTGGTATGGCGCCTTGGGTACTCACAGCAACGCTCGCGCCCGGCGAGAGTTCCACCATGGTTCGTGTCGGCTGTCGTCGCTGCACTGCGCGTGTCGCTACCTAGTCGTCGGGCGCATGCTGTGCGTATGGGGATATGAAGGCGGGGATGTGTGGTCTTGGTAGTAGACAGCGCAGACGTGGAAGTCGCGAAACGTCACGCTGAGTCGGTGAAGTGCACGAGACGGTTGGGGAAGACTAGCCGACGCCGTGCAGGTTGCAGGGATCAGCCGACTGATGATGTAGTTGGATTCAGGAGGAGAGCCCTGGAGAGCTCAGGAGCAGCAACGAGGCGACGCGACGAGGTTGAACACGAGATATATCTATTATACTCATAGTGTGACACGCTTAATATTACCATCGCGTACCTGCGACGTCGTGCCATGGATTCTCTGCAGACGTGCCTGGGTAACCGCGGGCAGCGTCTGGGTGTCTGGGGGCCCAAGCTTGAACTTCAACCTCCAAGCTCCGTCACTGCTATACCTCGACGCCAGCACCCATAACCCTCCCCCGTAGCCCAGAGGACCCCACACAATACCGCCATCATGTCGCAAGTCCACGCCCTCTCCGACGACCAGGTACAACTCCCCACCCGCTCCAGCCCGCGGCAAGCTCCCCGCCCACTACGTCAACACGATAGCTAACACGCACCACCATGGCAGGTCGCCGGCGAGCTCAAGAAGATGACGGCCTTTATCCGCCAGGAAGCCATGGAGAAGGCCAACGAAATCCGCCTCAAGGCCGACGAGGAGTTTGCCATCGAGAAGTCCAAGCTCGTGCGCCAGGAACAGGCCTCGATCGACTCATCCTACGAGAAGAAGTTCAAGCAGGCCAGCATGTCGCAGCAAATCACCCGCTCCACCGTCTCCAACAAGAGCCGATTACGCATCCTCTCCGCCCGCCAGGAGCTGCTCAACCGCCTGTTTGAGAACGCCGAGAAGAAGCTGGGCGATGTTTCAAAGGACAAGAAGAAGTACCAGAGCGTCATGAAGGACCTGATCGTCGAGGGCGCCTATGCGCTCAACGAGGATAAGTTGCAGGTCAAGGTCCGGAAGGCGGACTACGACCTTACCAAGAAGGCTATCGAGGAGGCGCAGACCGAGTACAAGAAGAACATTGGCAAGGACGTCTCCATCACCATTGATGAGAGCGACCCGCTGCCAGAGGGATCGTAGGTCTTTCTACTGCTATCCGATAGGGCAAGACTAACTCCAGACAGTGCTGGTGGTGCCATGATCGTTGGTACAAACGGCCGAATCGACATCAACAACACCTTCCAAGAACGATTGAAGCTACTCGAGTCCCAGGCCCTGCCATCTATCAGGGTCACGCTCTTCGGTGAGAACGAGAACAGGAAGTTCCACGACTAAGAGGTTAGTCTGGACGTGGAGTACGAGAGTTGGCTGGTGTGCCTGACCGCAGTCACGGGTCAGCACAGACGAAGGTCCGCGTCAGCAGTGTCGGACCGAGCCTCGATGAGTAGACTGTACATGCACGAGATCTTGTAGACCTCTCGGAACATTTAGCGAGTTTTATTCCATGCACATTATCGGAAGTAATGTTTGACTGTGATATCATTGAGCAACTGTTCTCGACCGCTAACTACAGAACCTCGTATGTACTGCGAAGGAGGGTATAAATAACAAAACGTGCGTACAAAGACGCTGTGTATCTTCGCATCAAGGAGTGGATATCATCAACACTCACTACCCCATAATAATCAAACGCCAGTGCTAACTCATAGCATGCAAATGCTCGTATATACAACAAAGGAAATCGTTACTGTGCATCGAATGCACTCATACGCGTTCGTAAACACGATCCCACATGGGACTTCTTGTCCTCTTCTGCCCACCACCCATGACGTTCCTCAACGGCCACTCAGTCTTGCTGCTCTTTTTGAGAGACGAACTGGGGTCTGGGTACCGATCGAAGCTTCTATGTCCACCATAAAGCTCATCGTCCTGGTCGGTGTACCCGTTGTTTGAGTACTCAGGGCCGTAGTCTTCAAGGTATGCATATCCGCCCGCAAAAGGATTCGAGGAGGGCTGCTGGTGGGTAATGGGAGAGATAGGTCCGGAATCGTCGGATTGGTATCCATGGCCGGAGTTGGTGGATAAGCTGGAGACGGCGAGACCAGAGGAACTGCTTCCACTATGATCGGCACTGTTATATGCTAGGGAAGGGCGGAGAAGACCTCGCGATGCTTCGGCTGCCGGGCTGCTGATGGGACTCGTGGGTACGGGTTTCCGTTTTATGCTCGCCACAGCGGGAACTGGGAGCGTGTCCAGAGCGGACATGCCGGGCCTCCGAGGACCTGTCTTGGGTGGTGAGTTATTGCGACCTAATACTGGAGAGTCTCCATTCGATTCTTCGTCGGGTTCGGTCACTTCGGCCACTGAGTGCAGGCTCTTATAGCTTGTTCGTCGGCCGCGCGCACGATTCGACGAGTGGCTGTGGTAGAGTGCGGGCGCCAGGATAGGTGTGTGATTATCTTGCATCGCCATTGGTGTTGACTCTGATGGCATTGAATTACCGTCATTGGGATGGGGAATGCCTGCAGTCGCAATGTTGTTTGCCTGAGACGGTGTGGGTGCTGCAGCCGGTGGGATCTGATGGCCATGGTAGGCTGTAGACATAGGGGCCGGATCATAGCCATCATCCTCCCAATTCATGTCCTCAACGAAACGGCTCGTCTGGTGTGATGCGGGATTCAAAGGCCGCCTGTGTTCGAAATTCTCACCGCCCAGTCCTCGGTCCTGAAACGAGAAATGGGGAATGAATCCAGGTGATGATGGGGGCTGACTGCCTTCGATGGACCTCCTTCTCTTTCGGCGCAAGATGAAGCAGCATGCGAGTAGTAATGCGGCAATTGCGAGTACTGCTAGTGGCACGCCCACACCAAGCCCGATCTTTTCTCGTCTTGTCAGACCAGCATCGCTGGAGGCAGGTGCGACCGGATCTGCGGTTGGGTTCAAAGTCGCAGATGGACTTGCGGGAGAGGATGCAGATGTTGAGACGGTGGATTCAGAAGATGACGATGATGATAGCGATGAGGTCGATAGTGTGGTCGAAGATTCTGAAGAAGATCCAGAGGAAGATACCACGCTGGTGGTTTCGCTCGAGGAACTGCTCGAAGATGCCGTAGGCATAGAAATCGTGCTCAAACTTTCAGATCCTGATATCGCAGAAGATGGCACTGCGCTAGTCGACAGTGACTCAAATATCGATGAGTCCACATTTGAAGCAGTCTCTGAGGGAAATGCCGTTGGTGATGCGGTGACGTCAGTTGGCAATGCTTCGCTTGCAGGTGGTGCTGCCGTCGCTGGTCCGAACTCTTGTATGAAGTAGGATTGTATATCGTATGGCAGCTCTTCGAACCATTGCGGTCGGTTGTCGTCTAGGAATTCTTCCCATAGTATGCTCGAGACAGCGGGTATGTTTGTCGCGGCGATCTGTCTTAGCGAAAGTGGTAGTGCAGTAATGAGCACTTGCAAGATCTCGATACTATTGTCAATGTCAGCGCAGTCAAGATTGATGTACGTCAAGGAACCTTACGCATCAGGATCTTGTCTATGTTGTAGCGATCGAACATCTGGTCTTGGTGCAGGTGTGATGACAGGCACCGCAGCGCCGTACACCAAACCCACCACATTCCCCAAGACCAGCCAATTCCATCCTCTTAGCGAATGCATGTATGCGTGAACGAGCGAGTGTGGTAAAGAAAGCAGTAATAATAAATCGCAAGTAGCTGAGAGTCAATGTTCGCAAAGATGCGTCAGCGCTTCATGTCTGGCAACAATAGTACGAACAGTCAGGAAGCCAGTGCCCAGCGGCAGCGGCAGCGGTGGCCATACTTTTTGACTGTTCACACCCATGTACATTGTCGCATGCCGTCGACGTCCATAATTCGTTGGAGCAAGCAAAGTCGTCGCAGTGTGGCGATTGATCAAGAGATCGTCCACACAGCCCACCGGTCTCGTTACTGCACTTGGTAGAATCTCATGCAGATCAGGGTCCTGACAGCCGGTTATGAGGTCGCGCACCCGCAGATTCGCCCCTCACTAGCCACACTTCGGATGACACTTTTGATCGAATCGCATGTCGAGCTGCCGTTTATCCTGGCACGGATGTTTTTGGTGGAGCGATCCGAGTGGGTCAACGGCTGAGTGTGGCTGGTGTGTTGCAGGAGGGTTCGCTTCGCTGCCGAACTGGAGAACGCTGTGCCGGCGAAGCGATGCCGCGTATACGTTTGATGCGATCTTTGCAGGGAAAGATTTGCATACAGAGACAACGTGACGTTCGATAGAGATTCTTTTTATTTTTGGATCAGTTGGTGTCGGAGGACGAGTGCCGACCAATGACTGTGAGGTGCGCGTGTTGGTTGGGTGACTCCTTCCATCTCGCGTCGGCTGCGAGCAAACGCTCAATGAGGAAATCACCGTTCACCGTCACCATAGTCGCGTCTGCTGTCTACGTCTACTGAAAAATCTTACGCAACCTCACATCCACTCCACCATGACCAGCCTTTGTCTTTACCACCACCACTATTTACACGTTTGCGCAACGCGACCCAGTCGTGGCATGGAATCATCTCTGCGTACCTGCGCTATACCACCAACGAATGCGGCATGCACGTTCTTGCGCGACTACCTCGAGAGCATACGCGTAGAACTCGCACTCAACCACAAGCGATCGCCTGGACAAGGCATACAACTACTCAATCCCTTGCTCATTCAAGATGGTAGATGAAGCAATTATGTTCAGTCGCGGTCCTAATCCTCAAGGCTGTTTTCTTCCTACCTTCAACTGACTCAGATACTCCAGGACCTCGCCGCTAAGCACCATGCACACCCATGACGATACTTACCGCGACGCGACTTACAACCCAGCCATGTCGAAGTATAGTCAATGCGAAAGATGCTTCCTCATCGCCTAGTACCAACATATAAATTCGTCATCGTTCAAGCATGCTCGCTGCACCTACTCTCAAGTCGAAAAAACAAACATATATCCCAGGAGCATAATGGCATTCGACGTGCACGTTCAGGAGACTTCAAATCTGGAACCAGTCACTACGGATACAACGCGGACGATTGCTGAACGAGAGACCAAGGCTGTTACGCTAACAGCAGAAAGCTTGTGTGATGCGTGGATTGGTTACCAAAATGAGTTGGTGCCCGACATTTTCCCGCATTCCAACCCCACCTTCGAGGCCTTCTTTCGAGCCCCTCGACAGCAACGACGACGCCGTTTTCGCGATATATTACGCACTTTTTGACCTCGTTCCATCAAGCAAGGCTCGTTGGTGTAGTTGGTTATCACGTCAGTCTAACAACGGCCGTCAAACGCCAGTTAGGACACTGAAGGTCCGGAGTTCAAACCTCCGATGAGTCATCATCGGCGCTCGCAAGGGCGCATCGAACCTTTTTGTCTTTTTCCCCGGCTGTTGGGGTATCTTTTTGCTCGGACAGCCCCCAAATCATCATTTTGGGCCGGTTGACCTTGAAAATCGAGGAAGATGGTGATGCCGATTTTTCTACGCCCCTTTTTTTCTCGTCTAACCGGCGGCCTTACAGTCTACTTGATACAACACTCTTAGGTACCCTCGTTGGATGGTGGGGGCTCGTTGGCCCGTCTACCTCAGTATCGCATCGGAGGCGAGCCTGTTACTTGTACGCAACATTCAGATGGGAGTGCGCCTTTGACTTAGACGCGGTCTGGCCCTAGTTCGGGCTGGTCATTGAGATTGTACTTTGGTATACGAGTATTCAAATTCTAGCTGGGCAGCGCGGCTTTGCAACAACTGCATAGGATCACGCATTTGCTAGCTACAAAATTGGGGAGATTTGACGCTGCGGCGTTGTTCTGTTGGATCCGAAATCGCAGGCCAACTCGCACAGCAAGCTCTACTTGGTCTACGAGGTCAAGTCAGGAGGTTGATGATAGGCAAGCATTCTGTCTACATTAGACTACCTTCGCAGTATCTGTGCAACAACTGCATGCAGTCTATTTACATCGTCCTGCCCACCCGATTTGCTCCTCCAGGCTACAATACCATCTGGTCTTACTAGAACCGCTCCATTACGTCCTACCTCTGAGAGCTGATCCCATTTCCCATCAATATCTTCTAGTTCCCTACCATCAATACCAACAACGTGGATTAGCTCGTCTCTGACCTGGTTCCAAGTAGTAGGGTCGGCCGTAAAGAGAACGAAACGGTCCAAGCACAAAAGATCGAGGGACGAAACGACATCATCTCCCTTCCTCAGCCACATGTGGGGAAAGTGATGCCCAGGAATGGTCGAAGGGTGGTATTCGGCGACCTTCAGCTTCCCAGTCTCGTCCACTTGGCCACCGTGAAAATTATCCCGCCCCTCATTGTCGATATCAGCAGTTGGATAAAACCAGCCTATCTCTGCCCCTGGTGCCTTGAATTCGGCATCGAGAATGTTTTGCGCCCTCTGCACATCCGCATGCACTTGAGCATAGCCCGGATGGCTTTTGTCAAGCAGGACTTGAATGGCTCTCTTGTTCTCTTCGACCGAAGAGTGTTTGCTGATACCCAATGCCTTGTCCATGATCATGCTGTGACTCCGCATATTAACCAGGCTCGATTGCGCAACTCTTTCTCCAATCGGGCGGCGTTCTTCATCGTAGGTGTCCAGAAAGTCGCCATTCCCAAGTTTGCCCTGGAGCAATAAAGCTAGCTTCCAAACCAAGTTGTTGGCATCTTGAATACCCGTGTTAAGTCCGAGAGCACCCCATGGAGGTAGGCGATGCGCCGCATCACCCACGAGGAAAGTGCGGCCGTTTTTACTGCGATACTGCTCAGCTGAAATGGCGTTGACAGACCAGTGGCTCAAACTCATGACTTCAACTTCCAAGTCTGGAATGTTGATGCTCTTCTTTAATCTACTCATCATTGCGCCGTTGTCGAATCGGACGGGGTCGTCGGGCAGGATGCCGCAGGCAAAAATCCACTCTTCTGTGTCGGGATTGTTGGGGTATGGGCCAAGGTGGTACATATAGCCAGTTCCAATACTTCCGCCCATCTCCGGGTTGATGAACCAAGTAATGAACGCTTCTGGTTCGGGATGTTTGAGGGATATTGGTGCTCGAATGTGTGCAGTCACCATGTCGACTATGTTCTTCTCCCCATGCAGTTCAATACCAAGTTTGTTTGTTACCATACGCCCGCCATCAGCTGCAATGACATACGAAGCCCGTATAGTCTCGCTAGGTCTAGATTTGTCATGGTATTCAATCCGTAACTCCACGTAGTCTTCCTTCTCCACGATGTCGATAACTTCGGCGCCATACTGCACACCGCTCGGATTCAACTGCTTGGCCTTTCGTGAAAGAATGGGCTCAAGCCGTATTTGTGGCAACGTGAGATAGCGACTAGGACTTGCTGTCCTATACTCGTCGGCATATCTCCCACCACCCCATGCGTCGCGCGAGACTATCTTGGTACCAGTAGGACCCAGAGAAGTGTACCACGCGGTCTTGGAACATGTGTTCGGAGGCGCTGCATTGGCGACAACTTCTTGCTCCACTCCCATCTGACGAAATATCTCGCCGGTTCGTTGGTTTAGGCCGCATGCTTTGGGGTGGATTGAAGTGCCAAGGTGACGCTCGAAAAGCACGTGTGGGATGTTGCGAAGGGATAACAGGATTGAGGAAGAAAGGCCTACAGGGCCTCCCCCTATGATGGCAACTGGATACTGCTGAGGACTTGCCATTTAGTCCCGGTAAGATTGATGGACAGCAAAGAACGCTGGAACAAATGAACTTGACAGCAAGTATCCCCGCTGTCTTTGACGTTTCGGCTCCACATTCCCCTCCCGAGGTCTTTACCCTTCCAGGGTTGTTACCAACTTTACTAACTTGACGTGGTAAGAATGTGGTATCTCACACTACCTACGTCACTCTCGGTTCAATATGGAACGTCAAAACGGCAGTCTTCCAGGCTTCGCGCTCGAGCTTCGAGTCTTGTCGCGACGGACTTTGGGCGTGTGGGTGTGTACATTGGTGGGGTCGGTAAGTGGATAACGGTAATTTCAAGACGGCGGTCGGTCACGACGAGCGCCGATTCTGTCCCACATTCCGCCTGCTACTTTGCCCGCTCTAATCACTCATCCATCACACGTGTGTCAAAAGGGTTAATGGCAAATAAAAAGTATCTTTGATAAACGATTGGTTGAGGAAATCTATCCATCCTCTATGTCTCTTTGTTTGCCTAAAAAGCGGCAGAAATATGTACAAGGAACGTAAAGCTATACGATCTGAATTTTCGTTCGAGTATTTTCACAACGCGCAGAAATTGCAATTCGCCAAAACATGGCTTA